GGGGGGAGATAAGCATTGGTATCTAACAAAGTCACAATTCCATTACGGAGAAATTGGTGAATGAATGCTCTCTCGCTCTCTCTCTGTCCCTTCCCTCCCTTCCTCTAAAATGTATCAGTGTTATTTACTACGCATGCTATTTGCATATCTTGTTACCAAATTTTATCCTGCTTATGAAAAAATTTTATTATCAATTTATGAATTAAATTCACCAAGTGAGTTTTATTAAACAGGTTATGTGTTTTTGTTCAGCTCAATGGTTTTTCACGTCCCTGAGATTTCTCTTTTACCCATGGACTGTTTAGAAATGTGCCGTGTAATTTACAAAAGTGTTTCTGAGATTTTCCTATTACATTAAAATTGATTTCTAGTTTCATTCAGTTTTGATCACAAAGCATACATTATATGGTTTTACTCATTTAAAATATCTTAATGTTTCTCTTATGACCCAAGATATGGTCTATCCTGGTGAGCGTCCCAAACACGCTTGAAAAGACTGTGATTCTGCATTAATTAAAGGTAGTTACATTTTCTATGTACTGCCTTTTCGTCGAAAGAGACGTGCTGAAGTCCTCAACTACAGATATAATTCTGAATTTATCTATTTTTTCTTCCCGTTCTGTTCATTCTTGTGTAGTTTGCAGCTCTGTTGTTTGGTGCACATGCATACATTATTTCGATCCGATCCTTTTAGCATTATGCAGTGTACCTCTTTGTTCCTGGCAATTTTATTTTTAATTTTTTAAAATTGATTTCTAGAGAGGGAGAGAGAATTTTTTGTTTCACTTATCTATGAATCATTGGTTGATTCTTGTATGTGCCCTGACCGGGGATCGAACCCGAAACCTTGGCGTATCAGGATGACACTTTAACCAACTGAGCCACCTGGCCACGGCTCCTGGCAATTTTCTTTTGTGAACTGTCACTGGCAAGGGCGGTTTACTTTGTCTGATAACATAGCCCCTCTAGCCTCTAGCTTTCTTTGGATTCGTGTTTGCAAGGTCTGTCTTTTCCAATTCTTTTGCCTGCCGATACCATGATATCTGGTGAATTTCTTGTAGATAGCATATAGTTGGGTCATGTTTTTTTATCCATTCTCCCAGACTGTCCTTTTATTGGTATGCTTATACCATTTACATTTAATGTCATTGTTATATGTTAGGATGTAGGTCTGTTTTTGTTGTTTTCTGTTTCTCCCGTTTCCCCTAACCTGTCTTCAAGTAGGTTATTTGGACATTCTTTGTATGCCATTTTGATTTATCTCCATTTTTTGAGTGTGTCTCTTTGTACAGTTTTGTCAGTGGTTACTCTAGGGGTTACACTATACACATGCAGTTTATCACAGTCCACTAGTATCACGTTTGCCTTTTCAAGTGGCATGCAGGTACTTAACCACCACATGAATCCCTTTATCCTGCCCCCTTGATACAGCCGTCCTAAATATCGCCTCTACATACACTGAGAACCACATCAGACATTATAAATTGTTTTCAACTTTTAAATCACAACTAGATGCTATCCCTGTCTTCCATAACAACAAGCTCCATATATACACACCTACTTCCTCAACGCCCAATCACCCGAGTCTAAGACATTGACCACTTCCCACACACTATGCCTTCTAGACACCCATCCATGGTTCTTGAGACTCATTAGCTACTCGTCTCTATTATATTTGAAAGTCTGACCAAAGACCCGATGTGCCTCTAAGCCCACCCTCTGAGAGCTCTACTCCTTTCCCTTTCCTTTCTGTCTCACCTCACGCATGTTGTTCCGTATTTACATTTACTTAATGAAGCTTTTTTCCCAATTGGACCATAAGCTTTTTAGCAATGGGTTCCATTCATTTTGTGTATTCCCATAGGAGGTGTTGTGTTCTAGCACCTAAATGACACTTAACTACAAATTCACTGCCCTCTCCATGTCCAGTGACTTAAAAAAAATCCAGCTCTCTATGCACCAAGTCTTCCACAAAGCTTCCTACTCGTACATCTAGTCCTTAGCACCCCAAACACCTGCCCCAAGGGACTTGTGAACGTGAGTGGTTCCAGGAGAGCAAAACATTTGAGATCATAACTCCTCTGTGTACCCATCCCACCTTACTCTCTCTCTCTCTCTCTCTCTCTCTCTCTCTCTCTCGCGTGCGCGCGCGCACACACACACACACACACACACAGCCTTTCACACAGCTAATGTACCTGGACTCAGTTACCCAATTTTAGAACAGGAATAATTTATTTCTATACGATCTTAATAATATTCCCTAGGTATTTAGTAATCAAAATTTTCTCCAAATCAGGAAAAAGCCCCAAGTAATTACACACACACAGTGTGTACATACATACTGTACACACATATGCACACACGTGCATGTATCTATAGCTACACATTTATGTAATGTTTTGCATCTCGGTCTGTACTTTAGTTTTTAACTTTGAGGTGACGAAGGAGTGCAGGGCTGAAGGCTGAAGGCCACTTTGAGAAGGCTTTTCCGGATCAACGGACTCAGCTTCCTGCAGATACCAATCACGCCTGCTCCAGCTCCACCAGGACGCCCCCGCAGTCTTTGGGATGGAGGAAAATCACCGGTTTCCCGTGGGCTCCTATTTTGGCCTCTTCACTTAGACTACGGATCTTCTTTTCTTTCAAGTCCCTCACAGCTGCACTTATATTGTCCACCTTGAGAAAAGGAGATAAGAGCACACATGAGATCACAAAAACACCAAGTCACAGTATCTCAGGGCTTAGAAGGAGCCTCGCAAGCTCACATGCTCTCTCCTCTGCCTTACAGCAGAGCCTTTGTTAAACCACCACAAAAATAAGCTCAAACTCCAGAGAGGGAAAAGAAGCTGCTCAGTCTTCCTGAGTGAGCAGCCAGTGCTTGAGGATGTTCACCACTCGTAATCATTTCTCCTTATAACCTCAATAATTAGCCACGTTTTATAATACTTTATTCTATGGGTGACATTGGTGATGCTGCACTAAGGCCTGCCATTTAAAGGGCAAGAGATTAAAGGGGGGTAAATAAGCAGCTCTCAGCACAGTTTGTAGTAGGTACTCCCTGATCACCAACCTTCCACCTGCCAAACTGCCTACTTAGTAAATTTTTTTAAACCTGGTTAGTACTTTTGAAATTAAAACTTCATATACATGAAGATCACCAGTAAACTGTCACCAAAATGTTTTTCTCCATTCAAAAAAATCCAAACATTTATAATTTTACAAAGCTCTTCTAAATCATTTCTATTTTTTCATATTTATTGGCAGTCTAGGAAAGGGGCAATTGTGTCTTTATATACTTATGGGGAAATCCTCCTCTCAGACTGGGAACCCACTAGAGCAGGGGTGGGGAATCTTTTTTCTGCCAAGGACCATTTGGATATTTATAACATCATTTGAGGGTGATACAAAATTATCAACTTAAAAATTAGCCTGCCATGTTTGGTCAAACATTTAATTAACTCACCCCTACTGTGATGGCTGGAACTGCTTTTCTTTGGTGAGGCCTTGGCAGGGCCAAACCAAATGATTTCTCGGGCCGTATGCAGCCCGTGGGCTGGACGTTCCCCACCCCTGCACTAGATGGACAGAAAAGTATAATACGAATGGCCCTGTTCCTAGGCAGTCATAAATCGCCCTGGAGTTCAATGATCTAATAGCACTCCAAACATTTTTTAAAAAGCACAGAGAATGCCCGGCTGGGCATGGTTCAGCGGTTGAGCGTCGACCTAGGATCCAGGCGATCAGGGTTCGATTCCTGGTCAGGGCACATGCCCGGGTTGTGGGCTGCAGCCGATCAATGACTCTCATCATTGACGTTTCTGTCTGTCTCCCTCTCCTTTCCTCTCTCTGAAATCAATAAAGATATATTTTTAAAAAATAAAAATAAATAAATAGCACAGAGAATGACGTAACACCGATGTACCCAACATATGCATTTAACAAATGTCTGTATTTATACAATCTTACTGTCAAAAAGCCAAGGATTATATACATACTGGATTCTAATTGGGCAAAAAAATGAGGACGACACTAAATGCTACTATAATGTGAGCTATGCTTTCTTCTGACAAAATCCATTCTACGTGTATACTCCCGACAGCATTTCTTTTCAAGCCTGAGAGCGCTGTCAAAGCCATGGCCAGACTGCAAGAGCAGTCACTCCCTGCCACTGGGAAACAGCTGGTCTGCTCTCATGGAAGCATTTTAATATTGTTACAACCTCCATACCAATTTGTTGAATAAGTAAATATTTTCAGTGGCCTTAAGGTTTTCACTGTGACATACCTAGCTTTCTGGGTAAATTATGGAGGGAAAGCATGGCTGTTCTATTAGACACCAGGTCCATCTCCTCAGGGACAGGCCTGCAGAGCAGGAAGCACTCATGGCGGCATCAATACAACCTGCACCAGAGAATGGAGTGATCTGTGTAATTTCTAGATCCCCTCCTTCCGGGCCCTGGCCCAGTAGACTCTCTGCCTCTCTCCCCTCTGGCTGGTCAGCGGCGAGGCCTGGAGCAACCCTGGAAGTCAATGTTAGGGATGGCAGAGCTCCCCACAGCCTGGGACAGCCCCCTCTCAGACTGAGCACAGAATGAAATCTGTCTACCTAGTTAAGCCACTTGCCTTTTAACGGGGAGCAGAGAACTATGATGGGTGTCACACTAACGTAGCAATTAACCCACCATTTCCCACACCTTCATTTCACACTAAAACACATCTTCATTTCCCCTCTAATCTCTACTTTTAAATTCACTGTCACATTACTGAACTTGGACTATTCCTTACTTAACTGAACTTCTAACTCACATCAGCTTCCTTTGAAGGCCTGGCTCTGATGTAGGACCCACAGAGTGTAGTGTGGGACAGGGAACAGTGCGTTCAAAGGCTGGGGATCCTGCTTGTCCTTGTGGGGGATCTCAGACAAACCCTCGTGTCCACTGCAATAAAGACTTACAGCCAACAGTAACCTCCTAAGAAAGGAATCAAGGTTAAATACTGGGCCTTGTTAGTTCCCTGGCCTAACATCTTATGGTTCCCCACCTCAGGTTTTAAATTCAGCTCTCACAATGACGGTGATCTGGCACTGTGGCTAACAGCGCAGACCCTGAAATCAGAACAAATCTGGTTGGAACCCCAGCCTTGCCACTCACTACTAATGTGACTACGGGCAAGTTATTCTAAGTCTCAGTTTCCTCACCTGTCAAATGGGGAGAATACTGACCTCATGGGGTAGCTTTAAGAAAGAAAAAAATAATGCACGTCAAGTACTTTGTGTACTGCCAGGGGACACAATGGTAGTTGTTATAATAACTGTGCCTTTCCATGTGCTGTTCCCTCTGCCTAGAGGAGCTTCCTCCTCTTGTCTACCTGGAGATTCCTTCACAGGCATCTTCCCCCCTTCCTCAGCCTGCCATGAGCAATCAACCTCTCCCTCATTTGTGCTACTGAGGAGACACGTATGTTAATTCTGCTATCACAGTGCACCAAGATTACCTGTTTAAGGAGCCACCCCTCCTCATTGTGGGCACGGTCCATCCTAGTCACTGCTGATCCAAGTACTCAGCAGAGCACACATAGTAGGCTCTCAAATGTCTGCAATATGAACTAAGTAAATCCTTGAACTCAACACGCCTCTCTCCTGGATTAGGAAAGAGGCCTAACTATTAATTGTGACATTCCTTCTACCAAAAGAATTTAAACTGGGGCATAATCGCTATTGCTGATAATCCAGAAGGCAGCTATCTGAACATGAACATCTACAGACACAGGCTCTCTGATAAAGGACGTTCTAGTCTAGAGAAAAATTTCATGCTTTCTTCAGGAATTGTTAGCAGACGCAATGGAAACAATCTTGAAAAATCACAGTCAGTAACTGAAAATGTGCTGCTTTTGTAATAAGAAACAAGCTTGCCGAATTTTAAGGATAGAAAATAATTACCATGAATACTTCACAGGTACATGGAACTTCTTACTTTACAAAGTGTTTTTAGCTGCTTCTTCTAAGTGCCTTGTAGTAGTGAAAGCAGCTGTATTCCTGTTACTGGAGGTCATATATGAACAATAAATACTACAGCGAAAATGAAATCTGTTTTGGCTAACTCTGGTGGCTTTTATAGAGGCTGTTGAATCCAGATTTAATAAATTACATTATTATTATCATTTGCAGTTTTCTAGAGAAAAAGAGACTATATCTATGGATCCATCTTTGAGCAGGACCAATAGTACCACTGCCCTTAAAGAACTTCCTAAAATTTCTGATGACAGTGACAACATGTAGTCTTAACAAGTCAGACATTTTGTGAAAGAGAAATTTAAAGCACCAAGCATTAAAATAAGTAAAATACCTCAATGCAGATGTGATGCATTCCTCCAGCCTTGTTTTTCTGCAGAAATCCCGCAATTGGACTGTCATTTCCCAGTGGGTGAAGTAGTTCCATTTTGGTATTTCCAAGGTTGACGAAAACAACAGACACTCCATGCTCAGGAAGAGGGGACACCTCGCTTACCTGGGCCCCCAGCACATCCCGATAAAAAGCCCTGGCCTTTTCCAAGTCTGGCACTGCTATGGCCACATGGTTGAGCTGCCCCAGGGTCCACACAGCATCTACCACTTGGTGTGAGGACTGGGAGGTGGAAAAAGCTCTTTCTGTTGGAACCAGAGCTTGAAGTCTGGAAAGAAGCCCTGAAAAACAGAACAGTCATTGAGATTCTTCTTTGGACATTAATGCACTTCTAAAATTATTGTTTAAACTAAATAATAAGTGTAAAAATTATTTATATACCTTTTTTTTTTTAGTTAATGAAAATAAATGAGGGGAGATAAATAGCAAAACTGTATACAATTACTCCGTTCTGAAAGAACTGTCTGGAATTAAAGAGTTAATTCTGAGCTATTTAGACTCAGAACAAAGAATGACATTTTCCATAACAGTTTATAGTTACTGATCAGCACGTAAAGGGCAGCTGCTATTGTTAAGAATTACTTGCTATTCTCTGCATTTCCCAAAGGGTAAGTTTGAATGTGACATGAAATACACTTACTGATAAGAACAAGCATTTTCTTCCCCATCTATAACCAATTTTGTGTTAGTCTGTGATAAGTTCATTAAAGCCGTGACCATACAGTACTTTTTAATGTGCATTTTGCTTAAATGACTATCAACTGGGTGAAATATCTCATTGTTGGGGGAAAAACAGCTAAGATCAAATGGGTGCTTAAACTAATGAGAATTCCCTGAGATCAGATTTTTAAACATTGTTTTTTATAATTTTGAAGGATTGGAAGCTGAGCCCCTTCTGAATGTGAAGAAACCTCCTGCACTGGGAAACTGAAGCGCCTGCTATGCATTCTCTCTGTTATTACTCCGCTTTCCCTGTCCCGACATACACGACTCTAAGGGCCAGAGCCTCCCCAGAATGAAAGTTACATACATGTACAAAGTCTCAAGGCAATGCCGTAAAACCACAGCACTTAATAAAAAGTATGAAACACCAAACTGGAGAACACATTTTAAATAACAGAGTTTCAGTTCTTAATGCAAAACACTTTAAACAGTATCTAGTGTCACAGAGCTTCAGCCAACAAAAATTAATTCCCCTTTACCAAAACTTTTAACAACAAGGAAATTAAAGTGACACCACTTGACTTTAAGACCATAAATCTTGCTGGCAAAGGCAGTCTCATGCACGCAGTCTTTTGACCCCACTAATCTACATCAGGATGGGCCTTGAGCCCGGAACACATCCTTCGGAGAGACAAAGAGCCCCCACAGCCTGTGCCAGGCCGACCACCTTGTGCTGGGAGCATCCTTTCCTCTTTCAGGCTCAATGAATGCTCCTTTGTCTCTGCTTAGAGCATGAGCATCCTACGGCCAACCTCACTGTTACATCTGCCTTCCGAGGGGAGGGGGGCAGAGTTCTGTTTAGTGTGGCATGAGAATGGTGTGCAAAAGAAAACTGTCCTGTGCTGGCCACTGGGAGAGACCCGTTGGCCATGGGGGACTGACACCCACTATTGAAGCTGCTCTTGCTCTGTCTGCTCCATGTAAGCAAAGAGTGTTCCTTCCAGGGCTTGGGGACTCAGATACCTACATGCAACCGGCATTTTCTCCCCCCACTGGACTGGTGCTCTGCTCGACAAACCTGATGCGCCATAGGTCAGTCTGTATTATTGATTACTGAAATATCTAAGGGTTCTCATTATCAATAGTGTGATACAGCCCGGTTCTGTGAACTCACTGTATTAGCATGAAATTCAAGTGTATTGTGACCCACTACACACACAAAAAAAGTACAACTGAAAGTAAATGTCATAAAAAGAGCACCTAGTCTTTAAGAGGTGTGATGGGCTCTAATATTTTCTATTCTATTGTATTTTATTTCAGTTTTAAAATACTGGTACTACCCACTAAATCTCTACCTTGCTGGTTTGTTGTGAAGATCAGCTATTTGGTATAAAAAATATAATACAGTGTCAGACATATATATCAGGTGTACAATAAATTCAGTCATTCTTATTGTTCAAGACATACAATGGCTGTCTGCTAGTTGAGTGGCATGCAGGGTTATCTGTGGAGACCAAGAAACTATCTTGAGGGCATGGAGGTCATGAATTTTTAAAATGTTTAACTACCAGCAAATTCATCTCTATTTATGTATGCAATTTGCAATGAAAGCTCAATAAAGAATGTATTTGTATCAAAAAACTGTATAGAGGGTCAATGAGCTTTAGACTAATATGCACATTAATAAGTCATTTGCTCTGTGAAATTTTAAGGGTGTGTCCAACATTGACTCTAGGAATTTTTGAATTACCCCCACCCATGTTATCTCTACAAGAGACAGGGCAGCTGGAGGTGCTTGGCAGCCATCCAATTATCAGCACTGCCACACACAGAAATGTCAGAGGAACAAAAAAAAAGATGGCCAAGTGAAGGTGATGTTTTATATATGACATCTGCTTACTTTAGGGACATTTCAAAAACTGGAAGGAAGCCCAAGCAGCTCATGTCATTGGAAGCCCCACCATAGTCTATCTTTCTCCAAAACTTCCTGATGATTTGAAAATGGGAGAAGAGGAAACAGTTTACTAGAATAACTGGTGTTTTTTTTTTCAATAGAACACAAAATCTTCTTAATATGGAGGAAAATAAGTAACATGTTTATATAATGTAAAAATCAACACTATAGCTAATGGGTTTACCTTATCTCTAGAAATGTAAACTAGTTTAAGAAAGGAAATATCCTTTTATTGGGTTTATTTGGTCCCTAAAGCATGTGTTCTAGGAATAGGACAAAAATACTGATACTGCTGAGAATTCAATAATTCAGCTTCTTTAAAATGAAGGGTCTATACTCCAGTGCACTAAGGTACTGTTTAAAGAAATTATATGTTAGATTTGTACATAATGTCATAAAATTGTAAATAACCATTTGTAATAAGGTTTTCTGAACAGTTTTTATGAGGTATACTCTACATACTATAAAGTTCACCAGTCTGATGTGTACAATGCAGTGGTTCTTTGTGTATCTGCAAAGTTGTGCAAACTGCACAAAACCTAACTTGAGAACATGCAATGAGTTTTTGAGTCTGAATTTTTGCACATCTGGTTTGAGGAGAGCCATTCATCAGAACCTTCAAGTTAGTTTGGTAAGAAGCCCATATGTTTTCAGCATTAAGCTGGTGAATTTCACATCACTGTATACATATTTTCAACCTGTTTAAAACTGTAGTCATGAAAAATTTTTTTACTCATCACAGTGAGTAAATACAACATGTTTTTGTTCCCCACTTACATGGCTCCATAATTAAAGTAAATCTCTACTCAGTCATATAAGTCAGGCACTCTTGTCTCCTGACAGGTTCAATTTACATTTTCAAAACTAACTTTTCTCATGAAATCAATCCTTTGCAGGCCAAGTTGTATGTTTAATCTGATTCATTTTTCTGAGTTTCTGTTTTTCTGTGAAATTTTATGTTCCTTGAAAGTGAGATCATGCCCTGGCCAGTGTGGCTCAGTTGGCTGGAGTGTTGTCCTGTACACCAGAAGGTTGAGGGTTTGATTCTCAGTCAAGGCACAAACCCAGGTTGTGGGTTCCATTCCATCAGGGCAACTGATCCATGTTTCTCTCTCTCTCTCTCTCTTTCTCCCTCCCTCTCTCTAAAATTACTAATATATATAAAACAGAAAGTAAGGTCATAACATAAAATTACCACATACACCTACTTCTGGGTGTATATCCCAAATAAATTAAAGCAAGAATTCAAATAGATATTTATATACCCACGTTCCCAGCTGTACTATTCATAACAGCCAAAAAGTAGAAATAACCCGTGTCCATTAACAGGTGAAAAGATGAACAAAATGTGGTCTACACATACAACAGAGTATTAGTCAACCTTAAAAAGGAATGAAATTCTGACACACGGCACAACATGGACAAACCTTGAAAACATTATGCGAAATGCCAACAAGCCAGTCACAAAAGGGTACTGTACAATTCCACCTACAGGAGGCACCTAAAGCAGTCAAATTCAGCGAGAAACAGTGGAATAGTGGTTTCCAGGGCTGGTGGGGGACAATGGGAAAGTTACTGCATGGGTACAGAGGCTCAGTTTGGGGTGATGAAAAACTCCGGGGGATGGATGGTAGTGATGGTTGCACAATATGAAAACACTCAATGCCACTGAAATGTACATTTAAATATGGTTAAAATGGTCGACTTCATGTTATGCATATTTAACCACAATAAAACAAGGCCTAAGTACCTTTCTTCAAGGTCACACTAGGTGGCAAAGCTGGGCCTCAAGCCCAGGTCTGTCTGACGTCAAAGTTAATGTTGTTAAACCAGCGTGCTTAATTTTCTCATGCCTCTGAAATTCTCTACTGTTCTTTTGAGCCTCAATTTTTAATATCTTCAGTGTGTGATCTATGAGCAGTATCTACGTGCTAATGAAATGACGCCTTCATGAGTCTGGGTTTCTTGCGGTGGTTTGTTTTGTTTTGTTTTGTTTTGTTTTGTTTTGTTTTGCAAAGGGTTACCATTTTGCAATGGTCTCCGAGACAAGAGGCTGACTTGCATTTTACCAAGGAGAGGAAGGAGGATCTGGGAGTGCCAGTTATTAGCAAAACTTGAGTATCGCTTGTTAATTGGAGCTTCACTTTAACAAGCGGTGTTCAGCCTGCGGTTACAACATTGTTTCATGTACACATTTCAACTCTTTGCACGGTCCGTGCGAGGCTATTACTCTGTGCTTTCTGAACGCAGCTCACTGCCGAGCCCGGGGCGGGTGGCAGGAGAGACAACAGCGACCAGGGTGGCAGGAGAGACAACAGCGACCAGGGAGGCAGGAGAGACGACAGTGACCAGGGCGGCAGGAGAATCAGGGTGGCAGGAGAGACAACAGTGATCAGGGTGGCAGGAGAGACGACAGCGACCAGGGTGGAGGGAGAGACAACAATGACCAGGGCGGCGGGAGAGGTGACAGCGACCAGGGCGGCAGGAGAGACGACAGCGACCAGGGGGGCAGGAGAGACAGCAGTGACCAGGGCGGCAGGAGAGACGACAGTGACCAGGGGGGCAGGAGAGACGACAGTGACCAGGGTGGAAGGAGAGACAACAGTGACCAGGGCGGCAGGAGAGACAACAGTGACCAGGGCGGCAGGAAAGGCGACAGCGACCAGTGAAGAGCCGGCTCTGGGGGCTTCGCACACCTGCCGGCGTCACGCGCGGCCCGAGCGCGCACTTTCCGGGGGAAGCCCCACGCTCCTCGGGTTCACCCCCCTCAACACCTCGGAAGGTGCGAAGCCGAGGGACCCGCACAGACGGTCCGGGGCAATGCGGACGATACCACCCGGCGCTTCCCTCAGGACAGCAGCTCAGAAAACCCGAGGAGCTCCACAAAGCCGTTTCCGTCGCCACCGGTTCTACGCCTTTTTTCCTCCCTTCCCCCCCTCACGCAGGTGCAGAGAACTCAAGACACCTAACAGACGCGCCCGCCTTCATCTTTCCCGCTTGCTACCTCGGTTCTCGAACGTTTCCGAACCCGAACGGACCGCGTTCGGACACCCAGCCGGTGGGAAACCGCGCCCCGTCCCGCCCGGCCTCCCAGCCCCCCGGGGCGCGCGTGGGCCCGCTCACATTCTCGGGGCCTCCCCTCGCTCTGCTTTCTCTCGCCCCCTACGGGGCCCCGCGGACTAAACTCACGGCCCCGCTGTCCCCAAGGACAGGTTCCCTCGCCTCTCCCGGGCCTCAGAGAAAAAGGGGCGACGTCGGC